GGCGCCTCACGGCAGCAGCTGCTGCTGCAGGACAAGAGTAGGAACGATACATGCTTTCACGTAAGAGTCTCCAAAAGCCGCCAGTAACACCTTAAAAAGTCGCCAGATTCGTCGCTAGTCGCTTTTTAAAAAAAATTGTCGCTGGAGGGGTCTGAAAAGTCGCTAAATATAGCGACAAAGTCGCTGAGTTTGCAACACTGCGCACCTGCAGCGCTGGCTCGCTCTGCCGTATTTTTTTTTTTTCTTCCCCCGTTTCAGTCAAGTGGCAGTGATGACGGCGGCGGGGGATGACGCATTAATCACGCAACACAACTAATCAATGATGAAATTCGTTGCCAACGCTTTTAAAAGTCTATTTTTATCGATTATATCGATTCGTTGTTGCAGCCCTAGCTTCAACGCCAAACAGCCCAGATGGTCTTAACCAATAACAGCAGGACTCTATGAGGCGTAATATCGCTCTACTTGGTACGTCATTGGCTGACAGGCAAGGAGTGCTTGTGAGACTTCATCGGCTGTCCCTGACTCAAATGGATTCATACAAAGATGCAGATACTTTTGTCTTTATAACAGAAGACAATGTAGAGAACCATGCCAAAAATCGTGGGCAAACAAATGAGGAGATAAGTATTAGGAGGTAAATATTAGCAAGATAATAAGCCAAAACTATGACCAGCTAACATTTCTGATGCCAACAACTGGACGTTTTGTGGTGATTTTCTCATCATGGAATATTTTTATTATGAATATTCTGGATTACTTTCAATCTGTGCATCCTTATGGACGAATGGAATGCAAATAATTAAAGATAGGATCTATAAAACGGCTTCTGGACGCCTTCAAATGTATGTAGTTCTGGCTGCTTTGCTTGTTTACATGATTAACATGCTGCTATATCTGTGTTAATTGTGCTTTGGTGCTTGCTGTGTCTATAAAAGGAACTTAGTGGTTGAATCGTGCAGAATCTAAGCTTTCCAATGATGTCTAACATGTCTGCATTGGTAAAAAGTTTACAGCTGTAATTTTCAGTTATTAGATGTACACGCTTTAAAATGGGTCACCGGCAACCAGGTGGATTTTGAGAGGTATGATGCTTTTATTTGTTAATTCTTCTTGAAAACGTGCATGGTTTAATGTAACCTAATTAGACAAAAACTTTGATCAAATATGCAAGTATTTATTTTTTTTAAGTTGTTTGACTTTCTAAAGAGGGCNATATATATATATATATATTTTTTTTTTCCAGCTTTGGGCATTGTAATAAAGAAAAATCAGCGTCCAAAATTACAAAATATTGGACCGCTTGGAGCTGCGCGCATTAATCCTCTCTCAGCTGTGTTTCATGGCTCCCCTTTATATAACCCAGCCATGTCTAGGTTTGTTTGGAACCTTATTTCAAGGCTTCAACGCCAAACAGCTCAGATGGTCCTAACCAATAACAGCAGGACTCTATGAGGCGTAATATCGCTCTACTTGGTACGTCATTGGCTGTCCCTGACTCAAATCAAGTCATAAAAAGATGCAGATACTTTTGTCTTTTAGATAAAAAGACGATGTAAAGAAGCATACCAAACATTGCGGGCAAACAAATGAGGAAGTTAGTATTAGGAGGTAAATATTAGCAAGATGCTAAGCATTAACTATGACCAGCTAACTTTTCTGATGCCAACAACTGGACATTATGTGGTGATTTTCTCAACATGTAATATTTTTATTATGAATATTCTGGATTACTTTTAATCTGTGCATCCTTATGGACAAATGGAATGTAAATTAAACATTAGATCTATAAAATGGCTTCTGAACGCCTTCAGATGTACTATGTAGTTCTGGCTGCTTTGTTTACATGATCAACATGCTGCTATATCTGTGTTAATTGTGCTTTGGTGCTCGCTTTCCAACGATGTCTAACATGTCTATATTGGTAAACATTTTACAGCTGTAATTTTCAGTTATTAGTTGTAAACGCTTTAAAACGGGTCACCGGCAACCAGGTGGATTTTGAGAGGTATGAAGCTTTTATTTTTTAATTCTTCTTAAAAACATGCATGGTTTAATGTAACCTAATTAGACAAAAACTTTGATCAAATATGCAAGTATTTTTATTTTTTTTTAAGTTGTTTGACTTTCTAAAGAGGGCAAAGCAAAATTT